TTTGCTTGCAGGAGATCTGGGCCTGTCACATGAACCATCTATAAATATTCTAAAGCAAGGAGTGTTATAGACTTATAGTTCGGCAGTGGAAGGCTGTGACTCCTAATTGCTTGCCATAGTCAACTGCCAGTTGAAAGTATGCTTCTGCTCAAACCATAACTGATAATGGATCCAGGTTATTGCTCTTGAAGAGAATTTCATTTTGTTCATCCCAAATGCTTCTTATTAAAGCAGAGATGCAAACCATGTGGTTCCTCTTCAAGAATTTATCATCATTATTATTATTATCATACCACCAGTCTAAAATATAGACCGCTTCTCTTCTATGCAACATTGCAACTTGTCTGAATTGAGACCAACTTGGGCCTCAACCAGACAGCCCTAGTGAAGTTACATTCAAAAAAGAGGTGGCGTTGAGTTTCCATTTGCTCATTGTACAAAGAGCAGGATGTCTCACCTTTTCTTCTTAGGCTCCATATCCTATGCTTGGTGTGCACTGCTTCATTATAGTAATTCCATAGGAATAATTGTAAACGTTATGATGCATCTAAGTGCCAAATCCTTCTCCATTTGGCTGATCTTTGTGTTGATGGGCTAGCACACTTGGTGAAATCTCTATATGCTGGGGACATGTATTGTCAGGCTCAGGGTGTGGGTTGGGCCAGGCCCAAGCAGGTCTCAAGGCCATTAATATCCAGTAAAAACCCGGCCTGGCCTATGATCATGTCTATTATTTATTTATATTTATTCTTTGCCCCAACAGCTAGTCAAATTGTCTCAATTTCTTTTAGATTTTAGTGGGAATTCAAATCTGCTTTGCAAAATAAAAACAATCGTCTACAAAAGGAAGATAGGTTAGTTATTTTTCATCTTTTGCCAATTCAAATCCATTAATTTGTTGTCTAGTTGTCATTTAGCAATTTTGGGCATCTCATTTACTCTATATCATGGGTAGAAATTTCTACCACACATTTGAGGTTTAGGTGTTAATTCTCCTAATGGATTGTTATACTTGATTTGCGATAGAAACTAAAGTATATTTGATTTTTTCGCATAATTTGTGTTGTATATGACCAACTCAACATCAGTTAGATGACAAATAATGTTAATCCAACTGGAGATGGCAGCGGTTAATCGGAGGCAAGGGGGTCCCCAGCCCCCCCGATGGGGCTGGGCCAAAAATGACGTATTCTTTGGGGCTACTGTCGTTTTCTCAGAAATACGCAGAAGGGAAGAGGATTTCAAGGACTGAGAAGATCTTCAACACTCCAACTTTGGCCTTCACAGGGTGAAGTGCTAATCAAAGCTACTCCAAATCCTTTTTCCTGGAACTGGACAGGAAAAGCACGCTGGAACGATCCGAGTTCCTGCAATCTTGTTTGGTAGGAAGTTTCAACTTGAAAGAACTTGATATGGAGGAAGTACGTTCCTGGTCTTCAAGAGTGTGGAGATGTAATCAGGGCTTCGACGTGAGGTGTCTGGATGGAGAAAATTGGCTGTTCTTCCTAACCTCTAAGGAAGAAGCTCGGAGAATTTTGAATACCGGTGCAAGGTGTTTTGGGGGAGCACTTTTGCACCTAGAACCCTGGACGGAGTACACCAAGGTTTGGCAGAAAAGAGAGGATATGCAGAGACGCTTTTGGTTTAGAGTGTTCGGCCTCCTGGTACATTTGTGGAATAACGAAATAGGATGGAAAGTTGGAGATATGTGGGGGTTTCATGGAAGTGGACGACTCAAGAGGCTTCAGGGAATCTTTCGAATGTATGAGAATAAAGGTACGATGGATGGGGCTGTCTCCACAAGCAGTTAACATAGTGGTTGGGGAGACGATGTATGCAGTTACGGTCTGGCCGGAAATCAAAGCTGAAAAAATGAAAACCCCAGCGGATTACAAAGAGGTAGTCTCGATAGGCATGGACTGTCTCAGATTTTAACAGGGAAATCAACCAAGGAAAAAGCACAGGCAGTGTTGGAATATTTGGAGAAAGAAGACATGGAGATTGCTCCTGTCTACACTTATGGTAACCAGCAAAGTGCAGAACTCGCCGAAGGTCAGGAGGAAGAAGGATGGAAGAAAGTGGAGAGGTGGAAAAGAAGAAGGTGAAATCCTAGCCTAGACCTTCAAACAAATCCTACGGTCAGGAGTTTCGTGCGTCTGACAAAGGAAAAAGGACAAGGCCGGGTCGGTTTCAAATTTCAAATCCCTTTAGTTTGAAATATGCTGACGTGGCCTAGGTAGATAAGCTGGCTGATGCAGTAGCAGACCGGCTAAAAAATCACACTCAGGAGTTGGGCTTTGAAGCCCGCAATTTCAGGAAAAAGGACAAGCCTGCCCATTCTTTTAACCCAGGCCCAGTCCGTTTTAAAATCCCAGCCCAAAACATCAATCGGAAGCCCAACACAGATGGATCTGAAGGAAAAGGTAAAGGGAAAGCCCAAAATGTGTTTTCGGCTTCGTCCTCCTCAGAGACTGAAGATACTGTATTCGATGGAGAAGGATCAAGCTTTTAGGAGAGATGGGACACTGTGTATCAATGCAATAGTGAGAGAAGCGGTGATACTCTGTATGAGAATGTCCTATCAGGCTCAGGTGAAGCTGGTGAAGAAGAAGGTTCCTCCAGTAAAAGTCCATAGGCCCTGTAGGTCAATTATTCTGAAGGACCCTGTTCAAGCCAAGTCATTCTCAGATGCAGTCAGAGGCTCGGAAGAGAAAGTAAAGGGCATGATGGCGAGTTTGGAGGAACAAAATAGCATGGCAATGGTAGCTACAGCAGTGGAAGACGTTGGAGAAAAAGAAGATTTTCCACTGCTATGTCAAACACAGTTGCAACACACTCCAGAACCTCTCGCAATGCTCCTACCAGTTGATGGATGCTCCCAGAAGACAAGAAAAGTTGTAAAAGGAGAAACGAAGGCATGAGTCTATTCAAGGATTTTATTCAAAATTGGGAGCTAATCAATTTGCCCCTCTCTGGAGCTAGGTATACCTGGACCAATAATCAAGATAGGTCTTCATTGGTAAGACTAGACAGATTCTTGATCTCTACTGATTGAGAAGATGCCTTCCCCAACTCAAAGCAGGAAGCCCTTCCAAGATTTGTTTCTGACCACATTCCACTTCTATTAGACACAGGTGGTTTAAGAAAATTTCACCCCTCTTTAGACTTGAACACTATTGGCTGGAATCAGAGGAGCTGGTTTCCAATATCCAGCAATGGTGGGCCGAAAGTTTCTTCGAAGGCACAGCCAGCCGTGTATTTTTTAAAAAGCTCCAGTGGCTGAAAGCTAAACTAAAACAGTGGCAGAAAGAATGATCAAGGAAAGATGAGGAGAAAAAGGACTTGCATGAAATTAATTGCTGATTTGGATGCAGAAGAGGAAACTGGACCTTTGGATGAGGAGAAGAGAAAGTGAAGGGCAGGGGCAATGAAGGATTATGAATCCTTAGCTTACCAAAATGAAATTAAATGGAGACAAAGGCCAAGGGCTATGTGGCTAAAAGAAGGAGATAGCAATTCAGCTTTCTTTCACAAGTTAGCTAATGCTAGAAGAAGGCTAAATTCCATAAACCAGCTAGAGGTGTGAGATAAGACTATCTCAAGAAAAAGAAATTGCTGAAGCTTGTGAATTCTTCTTCAAAAATCTTTTCAGTGAACCTTGCAAACGAAGACCAAAGCTGAATGGTATTCAGTTTGACACCCTCACAGATCAGCAGGCCAAGGATCTAGAAAAACCTTTCTTGGAAAGAGAAGTTAAGGAGGCTATTGACAGTTTGGAAGGGGAAAAGGCCCTTGGACCAGATGGATTTACTATCCTTTTTTACAAGAAATTCTGGGAACTAATTAAAACGGAACTGTTGAAAGTTTTGGAGGAGTTTTATGAATCGGCTACTTAGAGAGAAGTCTAAATGCCACTTCCTATCTCTGATCCCTAAAAAAAGCAGAGCTAAAGAGATGAAGGATTTTAGGCCATTAAGCCTGATTGGTAGTGTATACAAAATCCTTGCCAAAGTACTGGCAACAAGGCTAAGAGCTGTGATGGAATCTCTGATTTCACCTCACCAAGGTGCCTTTGTTCATAATAAACAAATTCATGATGGAGTTCTTATTGCAAATGAATTAATTGACTCCAGGTTAAGAAGTGGGAGGTGTTTGCTGAAGTACAGCAGTAGAAGAAGAAGAAGAGAAGAAGCTTGTGAATGGGCGAAAATGTATTTTCAGCCGGCCCTAGAAGCTATTATATATATTAACAATAAGATATTACAGGAATAGACTAGAATGCCCCTGATTAGTGATGGGACACCTAGACATAATAAAATAAAACAGGTTTAGGCCCATAACAAACTATAGAACTGAAACATAAAAGATAAATAAGCCCACCAACACTTAACCACTCAATCCAACACTCCCCCTCAAGCTAAGCATGGATGTCAGTCATGTTTAGCTTGCCAAGTAAGCCAAGGAACTTCACTGAAGACAGTCTGTTTGTCAAAACATCAGCAATTTGCATCTCAGAGGGTGTATAAGGAATGCAAAGTTCGCCCGAGACAATTCTCTCCAGCAGCACTATGGGCTGTGTTGTCAGAAAGAAATAGAAGGCTGTTTGAGAAGAAATCCTCTTCTGAAGCCATGGTCATTAATTTAGCCGTAGATGCCATTAGGAGCTGGTTGTCAATGCATTCTGATTTCAAAGATGTTACTTCTGATATACTTTTTTGAGAGTGGACTTTTTTTGAGGTCCTTTTTTGTACAGATTCTCGTTGTACAAAGGACCAGTTATTAATATAATCATACTTTACCTTCTTTCAAAAAATAAATCTGTATAGATGTTTATTTTGGAGATGCCATTTCAGAAAGTTTACAAGTTTGTCTAATTGCATGGAAGGGAATTAAAGCGATTTCATTAAATGAGGTCTCTTATGTTTGTCAAATTTATGGGGCAACATTTGATTGTACTATTTGCTCTCTTTAAATCAAATTGAACTTTCTCGATTTTGCAGCTACAGAACTTGTAACTAGATCTATTAAAGTGATGATGGAATCAGGGTGTGAAGAGGTATGCTACTCTATTAAAGTGATGATGTAATTCTGATTATTGCATCTGAAAGGAAGAAGGATTTTCAACTTAAGTCTATTTTTCCTTCTAAGGTTGTCACCTTATCAAGTGTAAATATTTTATGCTCTTCTTTGTAGGTAACTTTGGAAGCTGAGGTGACAAACAAGGGAGCCCTTGCATTATATGGTCGTCTTGGTTTTATAAGGGCAAAAAGGCTTTTCCGGTACTACCTGAATGGAGTTGATGCATTCCGGCTTAAGTTATTGTTGCCCCGCCCAGAGATAAACCCTGCCCTGCTTATGGCTGCAAACAACGACAACAGTCTTCTACACGATAGTAACAAACCACCGGAAGGAAGCTCTCAACATTATTAGAGTAAATAGTTCAAGATCGAACACAGCTGTTCATTTATTTCTCCTTGTATTGCTTGGTGTAACGGTGGAATCTCGGTCCAACAAGAATGAGAATCCAGTCCATACCTCCCTAAACCCCAGGTATCTGTGACCAGCATTGGGTAATGGCCTTTTTTCTGCTGGTTTTTTGTTCTTGTGTTAATGAAAGTGTAAGTGTTATCTTTGTAAGTTTCTATGTCCTTTAATGGGTGATTGCATCCCATATATCATTCACTTCCAATTTTTCATTTAGAGGCCATCAATAGACTTTGTATGAATCTTGATCCAACATTTGATTCAACTAGCAAGTGTGCATGTGCTTTGCAGGTGACAATTTTTTATGATGATGGTGATAGTAAATAATATGTTTCCAAAGTTTTCTATAGTTTTTTTATATTTTTGTCTATAAAAATTATTCTTATTTGTCACATTTATTTCGTTCAATATGATGAATATACAATATTAGAGATGTAATCAAATGTTTTCTATAATTTTTTATATTTTTGTGTTTTTATTTTTTTATTATTTAATTATTACAACTAGGGTTTGCATATTTAACCCAAAAGGTTGAATTGTTGACTCACCACCAAACAGGAAAATAACTTCATTTTTGGGTGGGTTATAAATTTGTTTTTTATTTCTATTTTTAATAAAAACAATTGTTCTTTGTCACACTTAGTTTTTCCTAATATGGTTAATTAATCCAATTGAAGAACGGAAATTAAAACCCTAAATGTTAGATTTTGGAATTAATGAGGAGAAATGTAGTAGTTCAAATTACATTCCATACTCTAACAATTAGAGATGGAGCAAATTAAAAAATAAGAGTATTCTAGTTAAGAATAGGATTTGATGAATATTAATGATAATTAATACTTGAGATATAATACCTAACGGGAGGGATTTGAATGAAGAGCAAAGTGGTTGTTCAAGTCATTAATTAGAGATGGACTAAATTCAAAATTTGAGATACTTTAGTCAAATAAAATTTTGGCACTATCATTCACAATTTTACTGGTAGTATATATTATCTCAGATTTAGATGATCCATTTTATGAGATTAGATTTTATAATCTTTACAATTTGCATCTGATTATGTTAAAATGTCACACAGTCTACTTTTCATTAATTCATGTTTTACAATATGTTCATTCTTATTTTACAAGGTGTAATTGCCAATAAGACTTTAAAAATTTTAAAGATGTCAATTGTGACATGTTTTATCATTGGTTCACTTTTTTTTTCTTTCAAAATATTGTTCATGCACCATGCATTTTGTCTAGATTTCTTTCATTTTTATATTAATTTATTATATAAATATGTAAGTTAAAAAGTATAACTTTTTTCGTTTTTCCTCATTTAAAAAATGAAGGCGTAAACCCGAATCTGATCAAGTTTGATAGATTTCAAACCCAATGATCTAATCTAAGATCTCCAAATCAGATCAAAGTAGTTTATAAGAAATTATTTTAAGAAGTATGAAACTACCAGATACACTTAGGAAACATTAAGAAATAGTTGAATTAAAAAGGATGGCTGCAGAGGTGTCCTAGAAATATCGTTGAAGCAATCCTCTTCAAAAGACGTATCAGCTCTTCTGCTGTCCGTGAGATTTGTAAGAGAGGATGAGTATCTGATCGTGCTTTCTTCTATTGTTATTTTGCCCATTGCATCTGGTTTGGCAGTGGATTGAGTTTGAGAATTCAGAACCCAAATCCACATGAAAGCTTCGGTAGTCGGTTCAAATCATGGTTGGCTTTGTGTGACAACCGAGGAAGGGTAGAGAAAGCTGAGATTTTAACTCTTTCTTTGGTTGGTATAAAGTAGTGCACCTTTCTCAGGGGCAGCCTTTATTTCAAATCGGATCGGATTGATGCTTTTGGTGTTGTTACTAGGAACAGTTTTGGGAGGTGCCTTAGCTGTCTGTTTTGGTCCCTGTAGGGCATCCTCTCCGGCCCTATCTGAAGCTTTAGCTGTAGTTGAGACTCTGAGCTAGCAAGCAAGTAATCTAATTTTATCTACAATTGTTATAGAAAGTGATGGTAACCGTAGCCCTATGGATAACGTTTTGTATGTGCAGGACATCGTTCATGTGAGCAGAAAGTTGAATGTATCTTTCTCAAAAATTTGTAGAAGTTTGAACAATGCAGCACATTTAGCAGTTCAGAAAGGCCTGTGTTGCTCTGAAACGCTGATTGGTGTCAAATTCTTGGCTGAAAGATGTTGTCAGCTTTTGAAGATGGTAGAATTTTTTCTTGTCTTTTCCTTTAGTTGGTCTTGTTGTAATGTGACTTCATCTGTTCCTTTTTTTTGTGTGTGTGTGTGTTTTATAACTTGTTTTGAGTTTATCAATATAAATTGTTATTTCTACCTAAAATGGCAAGTTTGACCTTTCAACCGTAAATGGCAATTATTAGTCACATAAATGTATAAATGACACTCGTATGATGCCACAGTCCATAATTCTCACAAATTTGTATTCTTCAACCCTTTTATGACCTATTCCTTTAACATTGACAAGAATTCTCACCTTCATTTCAAGACTTGCTCCTTAAAACCTAATCAAGAATATGGAAGAAAAGTAGAAGATCAAATCCTTGTTCCTTTCCCTCTTTTGCTTCTATTACTAAAGCCTTGTTTGGCAATATACTTTCTTGATAGTAAGAAGGTAGAAAGCATGTGCAATACCTTTACTTTCACACTTTTACTTCAAAAACTATTTGAATGAAAACTTTTTAAAAACATAATTTTTAAAGTAAATATAAATGTTGACATTTAGATAGAACAAGACAATACATTTGCGCATTACATGACATCCATGTCTACCAGCATATGCCATATGTGTCGATGAATATACTTAAATGCCATATTGCATTTATATATGCTGCCATGTAGCACCAACATGCCATTAATTACATTTAAATGTCACATGACATTCATATATATTGCCGTGTGGCACATATATGGCAATAACCATATTCGAATGCCTTCTGACATTCATATATGTTATCGCATAACATAAAACATGTCAATGATTACATTCAAATGTCATATGACATCCATATGCCGCTACATAGTATATACATGCCATACTGACAACATGACACACATTATTTGTGTTAAAATGCCACTACATGGCACATGCATTTCATTGAATATATTTAAATACCATGTGACATTCATATATGTTACCACATGATATATATGTCATTAAATTTATTGTTATGCCTATGCTTTGCACACTACATTCATATATGCTACCATATGGCAAAATATATAATAGCACACATATAATTGATGTACACGTTTTTAGAAAGTATAAAACATGTAAGAGAGCCAAAAAATACAATGTATCAAAAATTGATTTTTTTTATGAATGAGTAAGAATTTCAAAAATTGATTTCATGCTTTTCATATTTTTTGTACTTTTATTTCATTTTTTAAATAAAAATGTGTCAAACAAATACAAAATTATGTTTCACACTTCCATACTTTCAAAGGTACCACGATACTTTTAAAAAGTCTTACCAAATAAGGCCTAAGAAAACATTTTTGTTAAAGAAAATGAGCAAATTAACAAGGATAGAAAATTCTCCTCATAGAGAACATTCTAAAGGAGTCCATGAAAACGGATCAGACAATTTGATGACTTTGGCAAGGAGAGAAAGATGCTGAATAAATAACTACTCACTAAAAAGGTAGAGACAGCACGAGGCAGAAGTAACAACGCCCATTTAGAAGAGAGTGGTGCCTATTGAGTTATTCGTCTAGAAGAGTGGTATTTCGATCAATGGACAATCGAATCTCATCATCCATGGACAATTTAGGGATTTTAAACCTTCCAAAGCATGGCATCATCAATTTTTATCAGTAGAGGTTAAAGCAGTTGCTTTTTTTTTTAAATCAACTGGTTAAGATGCAGTGTAGTGATAACAGAAGTGGTCTTTTATGATGATTTGGGTTCGAACCCCTTTACCAACATATAATTTTTAAATAATAAGTTTAAGTGGGGCAATTTCTTTTCATCAAACCTTAACCCTTAAATATAGGAGTTGAGAGACAATGTAGGATTTATTGTAAGAACCAATGAGGCGTTGAGTGAAAAAAGACGGTTAAATAAACCGATACAAGGGGCCAAGACATGCCAATTTGAGGCAGTGTCTCTGATATGTTTTGTTACTTTAAACCTTGGGTAAAACCATGGAAGTTGATAAAAATGGGCAGGAGAATAATTAAAGCAGGATAAGGCATATAAGAGAACAAGCACAATTTTACTCCCCATCCCCAACCACCACCACTACACCCCAAAAAAAATGGAAAAAGAAACAGTATTTTATATCCACATTCAGATGATATTTCCTTCATCTATACCCTCTATATGATTGACTAATGAATCAAAGAACCTAAGAACTTATGGGAGGCAGGTGACAGAGAGACTCATGTTGGCATCATGGGCCCAACTTAAGGTGGAGGCATCTGGGATGAAAAGCAGTGAAACAAAGAAACTCATGTAACTTTTTTGCCAACAATCAACTACATGGATGAATATCTCTTGCTCGCATGTAGGTCACAAACTGTCCAGATAATTCTGCTAGAAGTGATTGGACAATTGAGATTTCTCCATCTGCAAGTGAAAGTGAAATCCACCGATGTAAACCAATATCAAATAGCTTGTTATCAGCAAATTCAAGATAAAACAGTGATTAGTTGAAAAGCTAGTGTCATGTTGAGAAATTGTCTATAAAGATATACCTTGTACTTGCCGAAATGGAACAAACTGCACTATATCGCGCGATGCAACTCGTCCAATGGTACTCTCAAGTCTCTCTCCTTTATCTGCGTCCAAGGCCTACCAAACGAAAGCAGAATCAGGTGAACATGAGGTGCAAAAACAACTGTATCAAGTCAGATTTAGCACATGCAACTTTTAGGCCTCAGGTTGAATTTCCAGCAAAAAACAGATGGAAATAAACGCTTCTCTTTGAAGATAGAGTTTGAGGAAAATGCAGCACCTCCATGACTTTGAAGTCAGCCCCACCAACTCCCACAATGAGAATGGATAATGGCAGATTAGAAGCCTTAACAAGAGCATCTTTTGTTTCTTGGAGATTCGTTACTACCACATCCTGAAATGGTAATTCAAATTATAGAGGTATGGAAATGGGACCTCACAGTATGGCCAACCATCAATTCCTGGACCATTTGATGGTCCCTCACAGGAGAAATTTATGGCAACAAAGATCCAATGTCATACCCATTTGGTAGAATCTACTACATTTTCTGGGCTATTGGAGAACACATTGTAATAGTAGTCCAGAGAAAATATGACGGTAT